TTTCGCTGAAAATTACGTCGAATTCCAGTGGTCATTGTGGTTCTAAGACAGGCAGTGCTTCCGCTCTGGTCTATCTGGTATGATTTGTCGACATCCAGTCGCGTGAACTCAGTGTGCCTGAAGCCCCTACCAAATTGGTTCACGTGATCTTCGATCGTGCGAGCTACGAATGGAATCCTGTGCTGAAAAACCATAGACGGCGGAATCTGCTGGTTGCATTTGCCTAGATTAATCTAATAACCAGGTCAGAAAAAAGTCAGTCAAAAGAACTTCCGGAGCTATTGTTATTTCGAAATGACAACATGAGTAATATTTAGCATGAGCCTGAAAACGGAAATAGGTTTACCAGTTGGTTTTATGATACAAACAACCGGTTTCCTCGCACAGTTTCCTTTGACTGCTGTGATTCAGCGGAATACATTTGCTGTATTGCGAAGTAGCTACTTCCAGGTTATGTTGCATCAATAGCATTGAGAAAAAAATGTAGTTCTTTGGCAGAATACGTAGACGATACTCACTCAATGTGCGTGAGAAAGTACAAGGTGCATTCACAACATTTCGTCGAATCTAACGGCGGATGCATCTGACTTCCCGCTCAAATGGATCAAATGTCGAATAAACAGTGTGGTGTTTTCGAATCACACGCGATATATCGAATTCATTGAACATTCGGCTCAAAGAATAGTCGACTGATAAAACGTGTTTTGAAATCATCGTAGCTAGTAAGCACCAATAAAATTCCTGTACGATGGTGATGATTCCTGATGATGGTGAAAACTGACGCAGCCCGATTATCATGTGGCTCGGTGGTTGTGATCTGATTATTAACTTGGATACTAAACTCGCATTAAAATACACAACATCAACTACAGAGCAACATTTAACACGTGTTTATTTTGTTCTACAGGAAATGTCGTGACTAAATGTTCCCTTGGGACGAATTGGTCCCGAGAATTATCTAATAAATGCCACCTTATTATGTGAAAAGATAAACCATAGATTCAGCTGTTTTCTATTCACTTTTCAGTTTAGCACAAGGAACAGATTTTCACTTCTGGGCACTGACTTTGGTTTCCGTCTTTCAACGATTCGTTTGCTTGGCGAACAAAGAAGGAATTACAAATTACGATGCACACGCAACCAGAATAACTATACCGAATGTGTAGCAGATGAGAGCAGTGACGCGGAAATCAAACTCACTTTCTGATACAGCACTGAGATCTCCGGATCGACAAACCAATCACCATCCCATCGCCAGCCTGGAGGTGGATTGAATGACTCTTTCTTCAATTCTTTCTTGCCCGAAGCATCCGACCAGGCAGGACGAGTTAACGGAGGTTTTGTTGTCACCCATTTGTTCAGGATTTTACCCTGATTCTCGTACTACAAAATATATGAAGATATAACAATAAGCAACGGAATAAATGAAATCAAACGGTTATAATTTATCAGAAACCAGCAAGTGTGAACTTGCCTTTTGGGGAGATGGGGGACAGTGATCAATAGTGTCCGCATCAATATAAGCATCATCTCGGTCGCTATTATTATAATCAAGTCTGTTACATCCTCAAGATGTCCATGCGAAGCTCTCTGTTGGGTTTCAGATTGATTTTACTTCACCCCCGTCATCTTCAACCTGTTCGGTCTTAGAACTTCCACGTCAGATTGGTTCCCTCGACCCCCATGAGTCTATTTATCTGCATCATTGATCTAAGGACACATCTCGTGTGCGCCCTCTTTCCGTATCATTCACATGCCACGCACTACTTAAGTGCCATGTCGCGAAATGCATTTCTATCCGAACGTCTTTTCACTTGATCATAGTCAACCATTTGTTTTCCTTTGAATACAGTCTGCACGTGTACAAATGCAACGAAATGACCATGGATACATTGTGCAAACGCACGTTTTTGACTGGTCTATTCAAATTCGTGACGGAAAAACAGTGTTTCTATTTGTTTATCCTCGATTCATCACCACTCTGCTGACATGTATGTCCGTTCACCGCCTCACTCTTGCTTCTACGTCGTGTTTGACCTTGACATTGCTCTCTGTTTATCACTTCTCTTGTTTTTTTGATATGACGCATTTACCCGGATCCGAATCAATCATGGGCTGTCTCTCAGTGACCGTGTTTCTGCACTTTCATTTACATCAATAACAGTGNTATGGTTCACTCTACATTGGTCAAACCTACACACTCTGTCCTCTCTTGTTGACATTCCCCCATAGTTCGCGCATTTCTTTTCTGCTGGTTACACGAGCTGGTCTCTCGCTTAAATGATCCAAATCCGTAGCTATCTTGTGTAGGCCCAAACCCTAAACTGTTTGAGTGGTTTATACAACCCATGTTGCTGTACTGATGAGGTATTTTCTGTTTGCACCGATTTTTGATTCATTTGCATTTTAATATAGAAAAGTATTAGCACAGAATTCAACTGGTCGTTTTAGTTTGGTATCAATTTGGATCGCGCGAGTGTTTCTCTATTGTAAGTTTCAGGATTTGTCGTACCTAAAGGGAGACCAAGAGAACAGATCGGTAGGCGACTCAGATGAATGGAGAGAGCATACACACGTTCAGGAATGACTCAGCACTTACCGTCTCAGCAACAATTTGCGTTTTTGCTTCCACCTGCACTTCGTTCCATGCTTGGTAATATTTGTCCAGTCCGACCCACACAATGGCTCGAACCATGACCGGTGAACGCAGGTATTTCTCATCATTCTCCTCTTCCAATTTGGGTTTCTGAAATCACGGCAATAGAAACGGCACCGTGAGCTATCCGGGTTCGTTAGATGGGTTTTGTGCGGAAAGAAACTTGTCCTGCATTGATTATTCCCGTAATCCATGACAAAAGAGCGAACTTGATCCGCCTGTGACAGTTTTTATATGATTTGAGTTATTCTGTTTCAGTCACGGTAGAAAAGTAACTGTGGAGCGAAGGATTTGATCTTAACGTACTGAAACCTATCTGGTAACGACATCGTCGCACTAGCAGCTGTATAAGGTCCCATTACGCAACAGTTACGAGAACGAAATATATAAAGCCTGATAGTCCCAAAAGCAATTTCCCCAGTATACTCACGATAGGTGAAAAATGATTCAGATAGAGGTGTAAATTTGCTTCAAATAATATTCAGTTGGGAAATCTCCCTAGTATGGATGCGAAGGTGAGTAATGCTATTTACTTGCAATTTTTGAAAAACCGAGTTGTCCACATAGTAATACAAACACAGAGCTGGGAAGCGTATATATCTGTTTTGCTACGAGTGACCTAAACTTCGTGCTGTTGGCACGGAGTCAACCGCTAAAACGAATGGGACTGTGTGATACATGAGTCAGAAACAGTCAGCTGGTCCGGAGAAAAACACCCTCTCTTGTAGTCCCGCCTGCTGAGGTTGACGCATTGTTCCACTGAAGACAGGTTCGAAGATTGAATCATTCTTTTATTTGTTACGTAACCTTTAGTGGTCCTTAGATTATCCTTCTACGGTTTCAGCTTTAAAAATCTCGCCGTTCCCCTAAATGTATTTCACAAACTTTTGACAGTTTGCATTCTTTCACACTAGTTGTGCTGTTCCCAAAATCTTTCCCGGTCTAAAGGAGAAACACTTCCAGATCGCTTTAACTTCTTGCCCGTTGCAGTGGTATCCCCAAGACCGTTGTGGTTGACTTCATTGTGTGATGCATGGGATAGATTTACCAGCATTTAATGCACACGTTTTCTTCACTGTAACTTGTCGAAAGCGCTAAAAGTAACGCTTATTGGGCGTGAAAAGCGTAACTTAACTTAACTTGACTTTTGAGCATCACACAAAGCTGAGCTCTGCCGGATGGGTAAATAACCACAAGCAAGTTGTGCTGAAATTTTCACAAAATTTTACGTTATTAATGTTTTCCAAAAAACATCAGCCTTCAACTCGCTCCACACCAGAGGATCTGCAACCGATAGGACAGAGGGAACAACAATGAGAATAGATGAAGAAAGAGAGTCAGGAGTGAGTGGGATGCAGAAACTTCAAACACGAAAACTTAACGGAAACTGTTTGTCAGAGCGACTAAAGCTGAACAAACCAATGAAAGATCTATGGAAAAACTGCTATCAAAAGGACAAGAGCATGAATAACGGAAAACAATCAATATAAGAGTAAGGTAATGAATTATCAGTAAACATTCGATTAGATACACGTATTATATGATGATTTTTGAATACGGTGAACATATCCAAATTTGACACAAATGACTTTATTTGTCTTGATAATGGTCCCACGCTAATGTTCATACGGAGAAATTTATTCCTTCCATTCATCCGAGAATTCCCGGGTTCCAATAAAAGCAGTAAAACGGCTTCAGAAATAAAGACACTTAGCAACCGTAAGAGGAGCAACGGGTGAATGGTACACTAAAAAGCAATGTTTACAACATAGAAACTAACAATATGGTCTAGCCCAAGGTGGCATTGGTAACGCACTAATGCGTATTGCCTAGCCAACCGTTAGCCAATAACCAGTGGAGTCTTCCGACCATTGTGAAATTCATGTCTAGAGTAACAACTTTCATTCGCTGTTCATACACCTGCTCTATCAAAAAATTACATTATAACAATTGGAAGATAGACAAGGACAGGTAGCCTGCCGACAGAAATATACAATGAAACACAGCTGACCACGGAATCCACTAAGACCAGACTGTTTGTTGACCAGATTGCACGGAATGGAATGCCCCGATAATCCTGGAAACATTGAGCGTTGTTGAAAAAGCAATACATGGACAATTTCACACTTTTTTAACTTTCTACCCCGAACGCTTACAATACGCTGAGAAAGTTGAACGAAGCTACTGCATGAGTAGAGTTAGAAATTTGCAGATGGTCTTGCGGTTCTAGACGTGTTTCCATCGCGTTCACCCGTGCAAAACGATTTTGGGGAGCCAATTGGAAGCAGAGGACAATCATAGGGCGATATGCTCACCAACAGGACTTGTTCTAAGGCATCATTTTGCACACAAAATGTTCATAGCTTGGAAAGGCTCAAGGCGAAAGTTGTCAAAATAAATCCAGAGATCCAAATTCTGACAGCTGGGGGCACAATATCCATTCCTCACTGCATATGTGCGCCGTTTGTCGACAGAAACTATTTGCGAAGATAACAGCACACTGACCCGGGAGTATAATTCTCATTCACAAGAGAAGACAGGGATAAATAGAAAAGCAATCCAGGATCAAACTTCTTTCCCTTTAAATATATAGGTAAAGACTTTAGAAGTGAGTATCCTTGAATGTACAGTGTTCCAAGTTCAGGATAATCCACTTTCTCAGCTCTTTCTTTAAAATAGTTATTAACCATTCGGGAAAGGCTGTCATCATCGAATTAAGAACCTCTCCTGTGTCTGTTTGATCAAAGCATGAATTATTTTTAACCCTGAATCGTTGATAGGTGGCAATGCAAACAGGTACACCAGTTTGGACGAAAAGCACCATTACGTGTAAAGTATTTGCATTTAGAATGTCGGGCTAGATTTGGTCGAAAAATATGTCATTGTAGAATTGACGAACTATAGTAAGCACATCCTAGAGAGATATTTCAGTCTGGGTGGTGCTGGAGGGGGGGGGCGGAGTATATGACATACCATGTTTACCAAAGCGAAAGGATCCAGTTCATTTGGCAATGGTTTGTTCGTATAATTTTCCGAATACCAATCACCGTCAGAAGAGTGTGCACCGCTATGGGAAACTCCCAGCTACCGACTGGTCATTTTTAACCACTCAAGCGACGCGAAAACAATCAGGAACTGAAGATCTAAGAAATTATCATTTTAACCAAAATCATTGGTGAAAACGATTAACACCCCCTAAATGTAGGTTGGTTGAAACCCTGTCACTGCTCAGATAACGGGTAGATTGCAGAGTATCTCAGGGTCATAGTCTTTGAAGTTGTATGCTGTCGGGGGCGTGGTTAAGGGAACGATCATCCTCTTGGGGTTAGCCATGGTTTGGTGAGATTTGTTCCTCCCACGATAAGTGAAGATTCTTGAGAACGTTACAGTTGCTTTGTTTAGCAAGCAATCCATCGGCAAAATGTTGATAGAAAGCATCGTAAGGTGTTTAAAGCTGCCCTACCAGTAAATAACACCAACGTCGTCATTCTGTTGCTCTACAAGTAGCAAATGGCTATGCAAGAGATCAGTCCTAGTTGGAATGAATTGAGCGGTATCAGGGGCTGTCAAGTGTACCATATTCCAAAACTTTTCCACAGATTCATTCACGAAGCCAACTCAACCGTACGGGGGAGGTTGTAGATCGAAGGTAAACAAATTAATTTGTATTGAAAAGCCGACAAAAAACAAGAAAACTTCGTCAGTTCTTCCGGAGCACTCACAACGAAACACAGGGTTTGCGGGACCCCACAAAATCGACCAGCATATGTGGGATTCGGATGATAGAGCACATCGTGAGCAGGAATGCGACAGTAGGCCGATCGTTTTGAGCCGCTCAGCATCCAAATGATCACATCGGGGAAGCTGAGTTGGGGCTGAATGAGGAAATCAGATGTATTAGGGTATGTGGATTACGAAGAGTAGTAGAATGACGTCAGATCATGTTTACATTCACGGATGAATTCAATAATATTATTTTATGTGGGTGATTAAAAGTTGTTACTTCTATATGAAGAGAACAATTTATTTCTGACAGATGAAGAACTCTTTACGGCTCTTACGAAGGATTGAGTTCAACACCCCAGGTATAGAACACAGAGTAACAGTGTGATCTGTCACCGGAGATAGTCGATCACATGTGTACATTTTCTATCAACTCTAAACTGGTTTCCTTGGAGTAGAGAGGGAATTAGGATTTAGTGAGCAATTTTCTCCAGACATATTTTGATGCTGTTCCACCCAGCTACATGTATGACATGTTTGCACTACTAGTTCGCCACTAAATGCCGTTAAAATGCGCCGACCATTCGCGTTTGCAATAAAATCATAATTTAGATCTGGTACTAAGCACCGAAATCTGCGAAATGTCACCGCCTACCTGGAGCAGGCCAAAAATGACAACCTTTCATAAACTGGTTAGTCTTTGAAGTCACGTTCTTCGAGGTCGCTGAAGTTCGTCACGAGTATTATAATCTCAATGCACCTACAGTGAGTCACAGTAGCTTCATGGGACTTAGAACCGGGGACACATATAATTCATGGGGTGGTGGGACTTACAAATTAATGAATGTGGGAAAGTCGTCGCTGAAGTAGTAATTCAGGTTGTGGAATAGAGATAATAACAAATGGTTATAGAAATTGCCTGAGAAGTTTGACCGGAAATTCGAAGGGTGTTTTGAGGTTACTACCTGTCAAATAGAATAAAACAGTGAAACCAAGCTATATGGCAATAATAATGCATGCCAAGAAAAAACAATGCGGTGAACGGAGTTGTTCAATCGTAGGGTTTTTTCTGACTGTAAGCTCATCCACAGAGTTTTGTAGTACGACAGAGATGAAGCCTAGAGGGTCAGTTAACTCACATGTCGGTTACTTGCTTGGGAGAACATAAAATTGTCGCTCGTGCTCGAAACCTGGTAGCATTTCACTGGATACTACTCCTATGAGATGGGACATCTATGGGATTTGTATTGATCCAATTATTCGTTGTGCGTGTGTGTGTGTGTGTGTGAATAATTCCTGTCCATAAATGTTTTATCTTCCCCCATTTTACTTCCGCCTAATTCGATTCGATGGACTGATCAAATAGGTCGTCAATCTCTTGGTCGACCACCCGCCGTGTCAGATGTGCACAGATTAGGAAAAGCCGAAGCAATTCCTGTCATAGTCCAGTTGCACGCTTACGATGGAATCAAATTAACTTGAGTCCGGACAATTCCGATACCTTGTCATTGCTCATTACTGAGGAATGAGAAGAGGAAGAACCATATTTCGTAAAGACACATTTCTGCATAGCTACGCTCGGAGAAGGACCAGAGTCAACGGATTCGGTGAGCGTGTGCTGATAACATTTCTAACATTATAATTTATTCAGTTTTTAGCCACGGAGATCTTATTCCGACCAACCCAAAATCATCAGCAGGCTAAACACATAAATGTGAAAGTACGCGGGTTCACTCGCAGTAACAGATCGTGCGCAGCAATGGATCAGAACAAAACGTCACGTTTTTGCCGGAACCTATGAGTTGGACATACAGAAACTGATATCACACAGTCCCCGAAATGGTTTTAAAGGAAACTATTCTCAGTGAAACAGCAATTCGGATAAATGTGTTTTGACATACCTCAACAGCCAATCCGAGAATAGAGTCCCGATAGAAAATCATTTGCTGCAAAGCTTGATCAATGTCTTCCGCCGTGTTACGTAGATGTACAGCTTGATCATGCAAAGCTTTCAATTGTCCGTCACGAAGAAGCCTAATGTATTTGTCCAATTCGTTCGGTGGTGATTGTTCTATATCACTTTCGGGTAATTCCATTCTATACAAGGGTTTGGGAAAGATGTGGGATGGGTTGTGCTGAGAAATGTCAGTGCATACATGCAAGAGAGTTAGGTAATTGATTATACTGGACTGATCTTACTGCGTAACCCTAGAGAAATGCAGAGTTCTAACTGGGTTGAGGAAAAACAACACTGATATTTTAGTCAGTACAGTGTACCAAGAAGAGACACCTGTTGTGATGCCCTCGTCGTCTTCATAAGCATCGTACAGCGAAATACAGTATAGTGAACTTCACTGACCGCTCCCAAGCTCATAATTCGTACAAAGTAATCATAAGTAGGCCTGTGTCGATGGGGAGCTGGGAAAGGGGAGGGGAGGGGAGAAGCAGAAGGTTGATCTCGATGATCAACTCAGGGTACACAGTTTAGGTACTTAGAGAAGTTGTTCAAGCATTTTGACCTGATAACAAGTGGTAATCAGAACGCCCCAACTGTCTGTTCGATATCTTCTTCATTAATTAACTAATAAGAATTACCACTGGTATGCATAAATACTGACATCTTTCACCGTTGGACACCAAACTGGATTTTACGACGCTTGGCACGATTATGGTGTAGACAATTTGAGAGAGACAAATTGAGAACAAAGAGCGGTCCTACCTCTCACTTGACAGAGTAAGCTGTAATACAAATTTTATATTATTTTCGAATCTGAGGAGAAATCTTCAGCAGGTTGGAGTCAAACACTTCCTGGAATTCCGTAGTTGGAGTGATGGAGGTCAAGCGGTTTAATTTGCTTCTATTGGCGTGCTCTGGACCTTAAGTTTATAGGTTCGAATCCGTCTACCACCATCACCAAGTTTTGGTGTTGGGTGACTTCGATTACGTCCGGCTCAATAAACGGCGTTTGCTATTGAGACCTACGTGATTCACTACTCCAAGTTTAAGGCCTCAGATTTCCGGTCAACAGGAAGCAGCAGTAGATCCTGGTGTCTACGTGATTCATCTCTTATGTGGTAAGTAGCCAAAGATATTTTAATTAATATTCAACTTTATATTTCTCAACGGATACTCATCAGTTAAACTGAAGGTGAACCGCTTTGTCGTTTTTAATTTAATGAACAACAGTTTTTCACGCTTGCTGTTCCGTTCGACTACAGAGATTCATCGGCCACCGGATTTTGTTATCATTTTTCTCTTGCCTATTCATGTGAGAGTAAAGAGCAAAATAGTCGCTCATGAATTCATCATTCGCGCTACTCGTGAGGTCCATCAATCTCATTTGGTCTATTCTAAACGGAAAGAAAACCATTTCAGGTGCTTGTTGAAGTTTGTGGTGGACGAAATCATACGACAGAAGTCAATAGCCTAAAACGTAAACCCACAAAACATGGATGCTTCGCAGTGGAAAACCTGCATCAAAATACCCAATTCAAATGACAAAGGCGGTTGGGCTTTGATTGACTGTCCCCATCGGTGCTCTGGTGTACCATCAATTCTTAGCTTCGGAAAATACCTGCCGTGTGTTATCAGTTGAAACACGCGAATGAGCTAAAAAGGTTGAGGACTTCGTACTGGTCTATCAGTAAATACGTATACGAGTGACGAAACGAGAGTATCGCACCTTTAACAACTGTGTTTATGGTGATCAGCGAATGTTCTTTCAGACGTAAAAGTGAATAACTGAATGTAAATAAGTGTCACTTACGAACAATCCAGAATAAACTGATCCAAAGCATTGATCACATCACGGGCCTGTTGTTCCAGTGGCAAATCATTGGCAACAGACAACTGAACACGTGTGATGCTGTTGGTCTGTTAAAATCGGATGGACGATCACGATTTAGCCCGCGAATATTAGCATTTACAGAATGCAATAGTGCAGAGATTCACTCATACGGACCAAAATGAACCTTAGTCCAGGTCAAACTGCTGTCATTTTCAAAATATTGCGTTTTATTTGCTTAAAAATGGATTGTAATGAGCCAAGCGAAGACCGGCAGGAAAGTTGGAGGATCCCAAAGTTTCTGTCTCTAAGTATCAATCGAAAAGAAACTGGGAGCCAAATCCAAGCACCGAACTCTATCTATTTGTCCGTCGCATGCATTAATCACCAGATTGATACAAAATGGTTCCCACCTTAGGTAACTGAAGACACAGTTCCGTTTAGTCTAAGCAGTTATCGCGTTCGACTGATAGCCGTCTGTGTCCAAGTTCGAACGCTAGTTGACTCGGTCAATATAGAATACTGCTTATTACTGAAGAGAGAGCAGACAAATTTGTTGTGTTTCACAGGCTATTTGAGAGTTCATATCTTATCGAATTCGTGTTTCCAAATGAACAAAAACGACTAATGAAGAAGCCTGAACACTATCTGACTAAGTGACTGAAATACGTAAAACTGTGTTCAGCATAATTGTAGACCGAAAAAGAGAGCAGTTTATGGGGACTGGAAAGAAGAATGCTCAGATCCAGTTCCAGTTCCAGTACGGACAGACTGTGAGCATTCTATGGTAATTTAATCACGTGCTTCACTTAAGTATTGGTTTTCCTTCCCCTCCGACGATTTCCTATTGCATGTGCAATTCAACAACCGGTGTGTGCCATCAGGAGGAGGAAAATTACTTCCGGTCTCGTGCCGATAAGTAAACATCATTAACCGGACACAAAAGTGAAACTGAGTGAGATATTTTTGTGGCCCATTGCCCCTCGGTAGAGGTAATCGCTTCCGGTTGTCGAGTAAATTGAATTGAAGCATAGTTTGTCTAATGTTATCACTATGATCAAGTTTGGCAGATAGTTTGGTTCGAATGTATAAATTACCCCCTCCTACCGATGTGCCCTTCCTAATGGATCAGATGAAAACGCCATTCGATCAAACCCGACCAAGTTGTGAAAACAAATGTAAATTCATATGACAATTTTAGTACAGATAGTTGCGGCAGTTGCGAACATCACTCCAGTGGTCTTTGCTTGCCTTGAATGTAGTTGATTGACTGAAAGAGTTCCGTTTTAGTTTTTACAACCAATATCCTCTCGTTTTTGTTCTGTTTCTACCCCTTGGGGACCCATCAACAAGAAGTGTGACATGACCTGTAAAATCAAGTTTCCTGGTCTTGTGTCAAACACCAGCTGCCTTAGCAAACTTTACCCGCAGAGAAAACCAGCCCGGTAGCATACGAGCCACATGTCCGATATAGGATAATCTATGGGGATTAGGCAGTGCGTGGCTGCGACTATCTATCACTTTCCTCAACCTTGATACGGCTTCTTCGGGTTCAGCACCGAATCCATGGGATTCGGAATAGACAACTGTTTTCAAGCAGCGATAGTTTACTCTTAACGTACACCCGTAACGACCAAGTCATTGTAGCACCATATATTCAGCTGTTTACGGACACTTGTATGATACGATAACATCAAAGACGCTTCAAGTTTGCAAGCGCCAATCGAGCCATCAATCAAAAAGTATTATTCTAGGAAAGATATAGCTGCTTATTACTGTCAATCTCCTGCTGAATCGTATTCACGGGAAGTGAAATACGTTTCAATATTTTCCTACTTCATTGTAAATTTAAACCAAGTGCATTTCCTGACCGTAAAGTGCCCCGTCCCTTCGAGAGGTCACACTTCCACATTCTTCCTCATTTGATCAGTGACTGATTGAGGCTTCAACCAATAACAGTAAGTATCTTCTACCAGTGAAAAATTCATCCATACTAAATGCTACTCATTTAAATGCATTATAGATAAACACAATTTGTTTTGAGACACTGCAATAGGTCAGTCTGAAATGGAACAGCTCAAATTAAATCACTTACCAAACGATCAGCTGCTTTCAGAAGCATGTTGACCGCATACATTCGATACGTTATATCTTCCCACTGGGCTTCGAGCAAACAGCACGGTTTGTTCTCTCCCCACGGCAAGTAACTGTACGCGACTCCGTCGTAGATCGGATTTGTGGGTGGTGTTGTGGATGCACAGGGTGGAACTGAGTCGTCCAAAATGTTCCCGTAGTTTCCAACACTGACCTCGAACTGGATCGGGGAATCTTTCTCACCAGGGATCATGGTGGCCGAGAGGAAAGCCGCGTTCACACGGAACCGACGTCGTCTTAGTGATTTCTACAATTAAAGTCGGATGTAATTTACACTTGCTGTTTATTCGAATGCGGTCGAAAGATTAGATGTGCAACTGCCAGATTAGGTCATGATAGTTTTTAGAAACTTTGATCTGTGTATTATTTTCTCCAAGCACACTGGGGCTTGCTCATTGATGGTCTATTCATTTCTCACTATGATAACTAGTTTTTTTCTTGCAGTGACATTTATTTAAATTGATCGAATACTCCTAAAGAGCAGAAAATATCCAGACCAGTTCTTTTTGTAGGTTATTTTGAATCTATTTTAAGTGGTTTTAGATCATTGTGCTCATCACTTCATTCAACCAAACCGTTTCCAGAGAAAACGTATGACATGGGAATAGATTGGTTTAATTTCTATTGTGGCATCTATTCTCCTTTTGAGAATGTTCTATCGAGATAAGATACCACAGTTCAGTTTATATTTGGTTTCAATATTATTTCTACTTTAACGGATTATATTGATATCATTGCTCAGTGCCACATCGGACAAATGATACTCGTGGATAGGTGACCAAGGAATGAGGGAATTTAATCGCAGAACACGTTTTACAGTCTGCAAAAACTGAATTCCATGTTCTCAACCGATTCAACAATCCACGAGATCTTATGATGATTTAGTCAGGCATGGAATAGGGCTTTTATTTGCCGTGAAAAAGGAACAATGCTTCACCTCGTACCTGAACTCGGGCGATCGAATCGCTGTCAATCGCGCGCACCTCATTCGCGACGGGATCAGTCAGCAATTCGGTTCGGACCTCCAAAAGAACGCGACCACGATAGGCCGCTCCATCCCCTTTGCCCAAATTCAACGCTTCGTACTTGTTTGGCATATCACTGTACTCACGCGGTGAGCCATACAGGTTGATGAAAGACGGTCCAAACGTGGGCAAAAAACCTACAAAATTCGTGGGTACATAGAAGGTTTTGAAAATGGGGGAGGAGAATTAGCACTCTTTTTTGTGTGAGTCTGCACGCCTTCGATCAGGGTGCTAATTATGAGAGTGCNGTGCGTCCATTCAAACTGGAGTGCAACAGACAAGGGGCCCTAAGAACGGGAAAAATGTGGAGGAAACGGTGCCATCTAAAAGAGGTCAATGCAGACAGATGACAGCGCACTCACACCAGTGACAACGAATTATTCTGACAACCGAAATTGAAGTATGTTACGATCGTCACACGAAAAACAGACGCGGCTCGAAAAAGAATGACCGCATTGGGATTAGTTATTTTAGGGCAGAAGGAGATGGGCTGAATACATAGGATCACATGAACTGAGTTTAATTGATGGTGAATGTGAAATGGTTTCAGTAGGCAACTCCAGTGATCACTATGATGCAATTATTGCCAGTAATCACCATACCCGGTTGACCACATGGGAATTTCGTGGTGCATAGAGCGAATGAAGAGTGAATTGAAAGATGTGCAGTGCTACTGTACAGCTCTTTCAACCTTATTGGGTGTCATCAGCAGTGCGTGAATCCGTCGACCCGACTGAGGGTCGAACCAGGAATATCACAGGTAGGGCACAAACTATGCAGTGTACTAAACCTCCCCCTCGGAGCAACTGATTGTCTTTAATCACTCAAAGTCTCCATGCCGGCTATCAAATCTGAACAATGGGTCCTCCTGACTGGAGTTTCGACCCCATCTAATGTTCATTACATAGTGGTATGGAGTTGAAAAAATAAGTTATTGATTAGGAAAATCACGGATATTTTATTTCTTTAGAAATTTTGTCTCGCATAATTCACTGTAGTTGCGATGGTGTGCAACTACAGTGAGCAAAAACTATATACTAGTATACATAATCTCATTTTGTTGTAGTCCCTGGGTTACGTTTTCATTTCCACTCTTCCAAGTCATTTGCATGGCTTTGTTTTATCAATTGAAGTACTGAAGACGGAAAGACCATAACTGTAGTGAGATGGAGGCATTAATTCGATTTCCGTGGTTGATTTAGTAAAGTTTTTGCTGATAAATGAGCGAGGTTAGATGCGTGTAACAGGCCTTAAAAGTGAAACACTAAACGGCTGCTCGAGGTTTGAGCAAGTAATGTGCCTGTGTTCGGTCCTCGTTTTGGTGAGTGGATTCCAACTACCAGTGAGGTTCATCAAGGTCAAAACAAGTTGGCGTCGTTTCCTAGATTTTTAGTTCACGCTATGTTTGCTCTGTACATAGTCAAATCAAATCGTCTAATAGACCCCGGGTAACATTGTGTTGAGTCCGTCGCATCTCTTGACTTACAGACAGGCGACTTGCTGGAGGGCAGACACACAATGCATTAGTTGACTCGTTTTAAGGGAACATTATAATTTTCAAAACTGATGCAATAGCACAAAATACGTGAGGAAATGTGTTTTCATACTCTCTTGAACGCCGTGTCCAGCACATATTAAGCACTGTCGGTGCGTGTGGTGATATCTACTGCTACCCCTGTGACTGGCTAGACAAGTGTGAGACGATTTGAGGTTTTGACTGCAATATTTGTTTACATGTGATTTTCGTACTCACTGATCGCATACTGCTTACTGTGGGTGTGGAAAGTGAATAAACACTAATCTTTTGGACCCGATGATCTATCTTGCGTTGTTGAAGAACTGGTGAGGATTCATTGCAGCTTGCAATACCTGATAGCGTACCGATGGAACAAATGAAAGGTGTAACGAGTATCTGAGTGTAGACTGTTGTGTTCCTTGACGCACATTCCACCCCTTTGATTTCCATCATCTACCGAACTCCCAGTTGTGTCTCGAAGAAACTGAGGTATGGATTAGCGGCTTTACAAGGCAAACTGTTCTACACTCGGGTTAAATCAGATTGAGGGTTGTCCATGTTAGATGGTGTAGGGTCGACAAAAAACAAGTAAGCTCAGCTACATTGGAAATGGGTTCATCTAACAGAGATGCATGGATCCATTGTTTGCGTCTACATCTCTCAGATGGCAAATGAGCTGCGAGGGAGCCATAAGCAGTCATGCTCCAGTGCACGCTTACCTCGAACTGAGCGTTTAGATACGCAAACGTTAGGCATGCACTCATGTAAACAAAGTAAGGTCACTCTGAAGATATCTTTGATACAAAATTCCCATGAAATACTACAGTCCTAATGAATTTGGCTTTTCCTGGTTAAGGGGACAGCCTAAGCAGATTATTGGAAAGATCAGCGATTTTTTGCACCACATTTATAAAACTCACTAACACTAGAGATTTTTTCTCACGATCAAAAATGAACCAATAAGTTGATTTTTTACAAATCACCACAGTTGCTTCGTGCACCAAAGTGTCCGTACGGTATTGGTGTGGAATAAATGGAACGGTAGCACCTCATGGCGCAGACACACACACATACACGAAACAACTATGAACAATCCATGTGAATGATTCGGCACCGGACAACGTGTGAGATGGACAGCTGATCTGTTTTTTTTGTGAAGAACGGATGTTGTGGACAACAGGAGGGACGGGAACACACAACGATCACAGAGCCCCCATGTACAGAAATATGTAAATCAGGGAACATGTATGATTGTTTAGGAACGTAGACACAAACGGAATAGAAACTTTGGGAATCATTTTTATATCACCAATTCTAACAGTTTGACGGTTTAGCATGCGAAAAGGAAGAATCACCGTTTTGTGCGGAATGACAGTCTAGGGTTCGAGTGACTTTAACACTTGAGAATAATTAGTTTAGAAAACCCAATTTTTTACAGGATGACAAAAGTCAAACAGATCGATGGATAGATAGATAGATAAGTCGGTAGATAGATACACAGATAGAGTAACAAAGAGCTAGATAAAATGATTTAGTAATTGACTCGCACATTGATATAATGGTGCATGTTCACACTGGCGCTCCAAAACATACTCACATGAACGACTCGGCGCGCGCAATAAAGGTGCGAAATTTGTGCATTGGATTTTTTATAATGTGAACAGAGATTATCTTAACGGGGCGAGGGTTGGAGTGTATCATGTGGTACACATAATACAGAAAGAACGTCTTGTTGGATGCTGAGGCGAGAAATCTCAGACAAGTGAATTTACACACAACAATAATTTTCCGTCAATGGCAAGCTACGAGTAAACAAATGAGAATTATTCGTGAAAGGGGATAAGGTGGGGGAAAATGCTGGGCGGACAGACAATAGGGGCATACCTGTGACACCTGTTGGAGGAAGTAAAACAGAGGCAAGCACAATATGTGGTTAATGCAATCAAAGTTTGAATCAGATCAATGTTCGAGAACGGAAAAAGATGCAGTGCGTTGCAGATTTGTGCTCGAATCAAATGGGATGATGAACATGGAAGTCGAAGATGAATAGACAGAGCACTTTTGGGGATGAGCACAATTGGCGATGAGTCGGGGAGAAACGAAAAAGAAATTCACAAACAAGAGCCTTCTGAAACAGGAAACAGAGTGTGTGTGCTGTGTTATAAACGATGACAGTATATCCTCTGGTGGACCACAGATTGGATTTTCGGTGATAATGTTATACAGGATGGAATAGTGTGCCCACCGACAAGAATGCGACTCATCGATCCTGCGGCTCAGAGATAATCACGAAATATGCCCATTAGTTGGGAGCACAATGCAGGTATATGGATAAACATTTCGACTTTTAATGCGGAGGTTTGCCGCCAGAGCACGCACCACGGATGAGCCGCAACAACGACGAAACACTTACGTGCGGTTTCTTGTCGATCAACACCAGCACCTCACATTCGATAAAAAATACTACAACAAATTTAGCGTAAACCTGTCCCACCACGCTCGAATTTTCGAGGGACTCGAAGAGTGGGAGCCATGGATGAATGAATGAACGTAAAATCTCGGTGAACATCGGTTCACAACGTTTTACCACAGCATTATGTTTGCAAGTTAATAATTGATTATTTTACAGTTTTTTTTAAATTTTGACTCGCGAGTTTACAATACTGGCATCATCAGGATTCATATCAACTATACTTTTATTTCAGAATCATTTATTTTCCTTTTTACCTTGAGTACCCAGTTACATGAACCATCGTCGGGAAACCAGCTTGCTAATGTGGTTACGGAAGAGGAGAAAACGGAGTTGGTGGTGTAAAAGAATAGTGGGATCCACAAGTATAACCGCCGGCTCAGTCGGATGCTGACCACGTAGATTGACCACATTCACATAGGAGTTGTTACCTGTTGTTGATCTTACACATCGCATCGCGTTCATCTCGCCCATTCAACGTGATCTGTGGAGCATAGATTTGACCTGACTCAAGCCATCAACGTCATGTTACCTTATCAGAACCCACAATTGTCAGCTTTTTTGTGCGAATCCATTCGTGTGCTTAAAAGCAAATGGTCCATAATACATTGGCAAGAACCACACTGCAAGCTTTCTAACCTTTGGATAAATAGTCTCACGTACACTTTTTCCATTGCCCAGTTTGTTCTGTACAGCATACAAATCAACAAGCTTCATGTTAAAGACAGGATTGCTAATTAAATACTTGTATCTTGCATCAACTGTCCTACCCCTCACCAGCGTGGCTTTGAATTGGTACTAAAACCGATGTGAAAAACCTTTCAGGCTCCTCAGTAGCATGTAGAACCCGTCGAATTTGCATACTAAATACCGTTCTGAACATTCGGTTAGGTAAAAGTCGAGTGATTGAAGATGTTTACTTTCGATGACCAATCTCAATTGTGTAGAGCTGAGACTCCAAAACAGTGGTGTAATACTGCTTCACTTCCGGATGATTATTACCTTACCCATGGAAGTGAGGTGGTGTTTTGCCGTATATCCGATAGACACTCTTGGTAACAGATAAAGCAGTCTTCGGATACTACGCGTTTGTCTCAGACACCCTAAGACTCCGTTAGAGTGACAACCAGCGTGAAGTCTAGACCGCCAAAAGGCGTTTCTATGCCAACTGAGTGCGGTAAAATCACAACAAAGTTATTTTTAAAGTCTGGGAGCCTAGAAAGGAACCAAATGAACCCTTTGGATCTGTTTCAATATGACGACATGGCTTACATCTCGCGTTCATGTGAAATAAATCTATGCAGGATAAGCTTTATCAAACATAACTCGGATTGAATTCTCTTCAACCGATAGATCAAAGGTGCAAAGACGAAAAAATAAATTCAAGACTGTTGTCAGTTAAGAAAGAGAGCGCAAGCACCTTTGGCGAGCACAATCACGATCAATTTTTAATCAAAATTTGTACTTATGAAAGAAAAAAACAGCAGTAATACATGGCGATCTCTGCTCGCAACAAATAAAATAAAGCAAATTTTCTATTTCACTATTGCTCCGAGTTATCATTTGCCAGAATCTCATGGACCACCTTAAACCTGCAATTGCTAAGGCTGAGGATATTTCTTCAATCTAATCGGTTAAACACCAGATGCTTTCTAACCCTGGTTTCAAAACGGGGATGGAGTATACAGATCTCTCTCGACAGTTCCATCCAGGTATGTCTGAACACATCAGTTGACCTGATGTTTCCACCATTTGATTCTATTCGACTTACGGCGGTCACTTAATTTGTGATATCCAATCTTTGATTGTTTGAACCAATGAGTTCGGTTACTAGTGAGAATTCATGGGCTGCGTCCGATATATGTCGGAACCGCATCCTGATTATACCTGATTCCATCCGTCCACGTGAACATCATACTAGCGAATAGCTCTGCGTTTCCTGACCTGATGGATTTTTAGCGCCTCCGTATACGAACGTGGCTATCGATCAATAGTTTATTCCCACTTCGACAGGATTAACGACCAGATCCATGCTAAACTGAACCAGTCCAGTTCTGTTGACCATTGTCCATTGCTATGAATGATCCAGTTCCACGAATGAACCATTAAATGCTTGTCAATGCGGATACGATTTGCAATCATAAACTGTATTTTTCAAAATCACATGATCACCACGCACAGCGATAAATAGAACAGAGCCGAACAGTGCTGATCGATGCATTGCATAAAAGGTGGTACAGAAAAAGTGAATTGATGGTTTTTACTAGGTGCTACTTAAGCCTTTTCACAACAGATCACCGGGACAACCGGGTTGAAACGGCAGGCCAATTTGAACGTGGCACAGATTTTCACACTTCTTGATCTTATTTATAGGCATTCATGGTTTCTTGCTGCAGAGATATCACTTGCCAGGTGAAAAACCACAATGCTCTTAGACACTGCTGCTAATCGTCGGTGCTGATGACTCGGATGATTTTGATAATGATGATGATGAGGAGGATATTAACAAAAAATGAATTCGAGCTGAAAAGGAAATTCACCGAAATGAATGGTTTCTTTGGTAATTTCCTTTCAAAACGCAAGTATAACAGTGTTTTATTACTCGAGTATTCATCACCAGCGGGCCATTAAACACTAGTAAATCTGTGAAGCCCAAACATGCAAACAACACACCCGGTCAACGAAAATTCAACTGAACTAGTCTGAAAACGATCTGGACTCGCGTAGGTCATCGCTGCCAACTATGGAATTCACGGAATAATGACTTCTGCCCTCACGTCGGTGGCAAGTAGTTCAAATCCAGTGGAAAGCAGTGGCAAGCTGTACACAACCGAGGCTGATAGAGAAAAAGGAGGCAATTTTTAACAATACTTATCACAATAGAATCGATAAAATTACCATCTATTTACCCTCACTAGGCTGCTTTTCGGTTTTGTATTACCTATTCCGCACGGTCAAATAACACGTGTGATTGATCGATCTGGACACCACCGAAACTCAGATAAACCTCGGGTAAAGATGGTATACAAATATTTAGACAGACAAACATTCGGAGAGACGGATGGATAGACATTCGGGCGGAGCTGATAGACAAACAGATCGAAATTCAGATTCACAGACCGACTGACTTAGAGAGAGGCAGACACGTCTTCAGGCAGTTCCGAACTATTGGTACTTTGGTGATGCCGTTTGTCACACATGCATCTTTACAGGAAGGTAGTATAAAAAACGCATGCAGCGGGTAGTTGGTTATGCGATAAAATTCGAGTGCTATCTACCGATCAAGAGCAGACGAAATGAACAATGCCGGATTGATGTTCAGAGGGATGAAGCAAACAATGATTTAAGGGAATGGGAATTGTATTTGGGGTGGGCAAAATTGTGCGAACGAGATGAAATATAGCTGATGAGGATCGGGTAGACGTGCATTGGTCTCACAATTGACCTACCATCAATATCAGAAGTGGAAATGCATGATAGATTTATATAGCTCGACCCGATCGCGTCATCATCGGTGACACGATCCCTGAGTCAGTCACCGCAGGAGAGAGATGGAGAGGAAAGCGAAAATCGGCACGATAGCGTGCAAATCGATGAGATTAGATTAAGTGTGAAGAAACCAATGTGTGACATAAATAACTGGAACAATGTAGACAGGATTATTTTAATATATAAATCAAATAGAACGCACCCAATCGACGAAAAGCACTTGGCCAAAGCCGTGCACTATTACAAAAAAGATTGCGCATATTGGCGAAGCTAATAATCGTGAATAGTGAGTGTTGTAAAAGATACCATACCTTCACTTTGATTGGTTAGGTATAGGATGGATGCCAAATTCATATATTTTACGTCGGGTGTGACCAAAGCGGGTGGTGAACATTTCCTAATCAACCATGACGTATGTCCTCGTTGGATCTAGTTACTATTTTATTGTTGTTTCTCTCTCTCACGAAATGGTATGTGATTTGGACAACACCTGTTTTTTTATAACCACGGTGATTTAAAGGGCGACGAAGATTAACGAGTACTTTAGCATCTATGACTTGAAGTCAGTTTCCAATGGAGAACGTAAGACCCAATCTGTACCAACGGGATCGCACACGTTTGGACTAAATTGTTTAGATTAACTGTAGTGATTTGAACTCATTTTCACAATACATATGCTTCGTTATATATTTGTTTTGATTCATAAGGCTCGATAAACACTTAATTTGACCGACTAATTAAGGGTGAAACATCGGTTGGTTCAGTGAGTGAGCACAAAATGAGATCTGTTCACCACCGGAAAACACTTAGTGCATTGCACGTTTGACCTTATACCGGTTAGTTTCCACTGCCCTACTTATTCAAATAAACCAATCACGTTTAAGCAAACGTTTATCCGATGATGAATAAAATTACTGGAAGTTTTGATTGTAAAAATGTCAGTTATTGTTACTGAGTGGAACAATGAATGCAATAATGAGAAGAATCTCCTGGTGTTATTCAGAAGCGATTCACCATTGATATGCAAGTGAGCCAATTAGGGATTGTACATTTGTGGATTAGCCAAGCCAAAATTGAAATTGTTACGCATGACCAGGATTAGTTGAAAGCGCGCAGGTACGGACAAAGACAAGCAGGCACATGTATATGACACTAACCCTCATCATTTTCAAGGAAAGCCGAAATATGTGACATGACAATTTGCCCGGTCGCTATAGCGTCATTGTTGCCAACGCGATCCCTGTATCAAATTGAACAGATCACGTGTGCATTTTTGTGTGTATGTGTGTGGGATGCGGGAAAAATCAGTACACGAACGGGATACACACACATACACATTGACCTACCGAGTCGAGCAAGAAAAACTGACCGGGATTCCAAGTAAGATGTGAGTACAAGTTGGCTCCGAATTCGAGCAGTTGCCGTCTAAACCGTTCCCCATTCAGCTCCCAATCATTCAAATTATTGAATCAGTGCTTCAATATTCCAAGTCTGTTTGTTCTTATGTGCAAGATTGCGTATGGATACCATTTGAGTCACGGCCCCGTGCTACGACCGAATACAGACGATGCACTT